GGGAGGTGTCTAATGCCCTCTTCTGGCTCCCAAGGCTACTATTTCTTGCACATGATGCGTCCAGACAAACACATAAAATAGAAATAAATGAATATTTTATAAAGAGCTCTGAATGTTTGAAACAAGGTAGGACTGTTGGCACATCCTATAATTCCAGGACTCACAAGGCTGAGGCAGAAGAATCTGGAGTCCAAGGCCAGCCTGGACTTGAAGATTCTATATTGAACTGGTAAAGCCCTACGACACAACACCTATCTAATATAATAGATGTTTTAAAGGTCTGGAAGGCTCAGTTATCAGTTATATCAGCTTCCTTTTTGTAAACAAAGACTGCTCGTTCTTTTTCCAGCCACCCAGACCTGAATAATAACACAGAAACTACATTAATTACAATACTGTTTAGCCAATAGCTTAGGCATATTTCTAGCTAACTCTTACATCTTAAATTGACCCATTTCTATTCACAAGGTTGTGGTCGACCAGTCAGGTTCTGACTGGCAGCTGGCATCTTTTTCCTTTGGCGGCTATATGGTGTTTCATTGACTCTGCCTACTTTCCTTCTATATATCTGTTCAGATTTCCTGCCAGGCTTTACTCTACTAAGTCATTGGCCAAAATAGCTTCTTTAATAATCAATGGTAGTAAAACATATTCATAATATACAAAGGGGAATCCCATATCATCTTTTCATTATTATAAGAATATCTGAGATATTCAACATAATAGTGACCTGCTGGACATTGTAGAAACTCTAATTCTTGGTTGGTTAACTGCGTTGCTCTGGGCCTGTGGCTATAAAATGGCAAGAAGTGGCGAAGGAAGCCAATTTACTTTATAGGAGCCAAGAGGCAAAAAGAGACGAAGGAACTAGGGCAAAACCTTCCCCTCACGTGGCCCCACCCCCTAAATACCGCCCCCCATCTCCCAATAGCATCTCAAGCTGGTATTGAACCTAACATGAGGCCTTGGGGGTTGGGGGTGTGGCAGACACTCAAGATCCAAATGATAATATTTGGGAAGACAAAGGAAACTACAAGGTAAAGAGAAAATAACAAGAATGAGAAGAAACCAAACTATGCATTGCTGGTGGAAAAGTGAACTGGTACAGAACATGAACTGAGTTTGTTAGCTCCCCAACGATACAGCTGAGGCATTGTCAAAAGGAAAAGGGAGGGGACTGGAGAGATGGCTCAGTGGCTAAGAGCACTGACTGCTCTTCTAGAGGACCCGGGTTCAATTCCCAGCACCCACATGGCAGCTCACAACTGTCTGAAGATCCAGTTGCAGGGGATCTGACACCTTCACACCAATGCACATTAAATAAAGTTAAATAAACCATAAAAAAATATTAAAAAAAAGGAAAAGGGAGGAGCAAGGAGATACCCTTTCCTTCCACGTTAACACTTTACCTTAGCCCTAGAATATGTCACACAGTTCTCAAATTATTTACCAATATTTTAACCACAATTTGTTTTCCTGTACTGGACATTGAATGTAGGACTCCTACTAGGCTGTATCACCAATCCTTTAATCAGACACTTTATATGATTGGTGGTCCACGAGTAGTTTAAACCACCCTGGAGTCATCCGGCCCACCTCTGATAGCTCTCTACTAGCTGTGCAACCTTGGGTAAGTCACTTCCTGTCCAAGACTCGGTTTGTTTTATTAGCAAATGTGGGAGAGGTTAAAGACTTGATGAGGCACTTCATCACAAAAGATAGACAAATGGCCCAAAGGCATTGGTGTCAACAGTCATTTCTCTCCAGGAAATGAACATTGAAACCAAAAAAGGCACTTATCCTCCCCTTACAGAATCAGCCCAATGAAAAAGGCAATCGAGAGTGTTAGGAGGGGACTGGGGCTGCAGCTCAATGGTAGAGCACTCATCTAGCATGCATGGAACTCTAGGTTCAACATCGAGCACTACCAGAAAGGAAGTGTTGGGTGGACGATGAACACTGTGGAGAGCTCAGTCACTGCAGAGAAAGATGAAACTTGCTTCACCCACACAGGAATGCTGATGATTTCGACTAAATCTAGACTGTGTATATGGATACATAGGGACCTCATACTTAGATGTATTACCAAAAGGAACATGAAGTTACATGTATCAAAGGACAGGTCCAGGATTGAGTCAAACATGATAACCTCAAATTGGAAAGTTTGCAAATTCCCAGTGATGGTAGAATGGATACCATTCTAAATTGAAGCATTCAACCTATCAAAAAAAAATCACCAACAGTTACAAAGGCAAAGAATCTACAGTGGTTCTCAATAGGGGTTGATTATCAGATACCATGCATATCAAATATTTACATTATGACTCATAACAATACTAAAATTAGTTATAAAGTAGAAACAAAAATAGTGTTATGATTGGAGGGGGTCACCACAACAAAAAGGAACTGTATTAAAGGTTCACAGCATTAGGAAGTTGAGAACCACTGATCTATAGCTATCCAAAGTAACATGGAGGGCACTAATAATGTTGAGCAAAAAGAAGCCAGGCCAGAAACACTCAAATAGAATAACTGTGTCATCCTTGTCTTCATAGCTTGTTCAAATTATGGCTGCATAGCATACACAAGACTCTGTGCAGTAGGCTGGAGGGAGGGCTTCGTGGTTAAGAGCGCTTGCAGCTCTTCCAGAGGACCTGAGTTCAATACCCAGCATCCACATGGCTACTCACAACCATCTGTAACTCCAGCTCTAAGAGTTCTGATGCCCTTTTCTGGCCACAATGGGCACCGCACACATATGGTACATAGACACACATTCAGACAAACATTCATACCCATAAAATAAAAATATTTTTTGGCTGGGTGTTGGTGGTATACAATCTTTAATCCCAGCACTCAAGAAGCAGAGGCAGGCAAATTTCTGAGCTCAAAGCTAGCCTGGTCTACAGAGAGTTCCTGAACAGCTAAGACTACACAGAGAAACTGTTTCTCAAAAAATAAACAAAACACCAGGCGGTGGTGATTCATGTCTTTAATCCCAGCACTCAGGATGCAGACAGATCTCTGTGAGTTCAAGGCCAGCCTGGTCTACAAGAGTTAGTTCCAGGACAACTAGGAAACCCTGTCTTGAAAAGAAAAACAGAAAAACAACTTTTTTCAACTTTTTTCAAGTACTCCAATTTATACGTATCTGCTATACTCACTCCTGGATGTTCATTATACAACAAAATAAATAAGCTGATATTTTGTAAACAAATGGTAGGGTTAGGAATATCAGTACCCAGGACTGAACTCTGGGCCCCACACATACTAGACAACCTCTCTAACCACTAAACTGCATTATCTTCTGCTGTGGGATAATACTTTTGTGCACTGAAAAGATTTGTCACTCTTAATGGTTTAATAAAACACTGATTGGCCAGTAGCCAGACAGTTAGTATAGGCAAGGCAACCAGACTAAAAGAATTCTGGGAAGCAGAAAGAGATACATAGTCACCAGTCAGACACAGAAGAAGCAAGATAAGAATGCTACACTGAGAAAAGGTACCAAACCATGTGGCTAAACAAAGACAAGAATAATAGGTTAATTTAAGTTGTAAGAGCTAGTTAATAATAAGCCTGAGCCAATAGGCCAAACAATTTATAATTAGCGTAAGCCTCTGTGTGTTTCTTTGGGGCTGAACGGCTGTGGACTGGGTGGAACAGAAACTTCCACCTATCATCTTCCCTAAGGAAAACATTTTTGAGGTCTTTTTTGGCTAAAAAGACATCATTCTACCGGGTAGTAAGTTAAATGCTTTCCATATAGTTTTTCAAGCGTCTCTTTTATCACCTTCTGTGACAGACATTATATTGAGGAAACTAAGGCACAGGCACCAGGAATTTTCCAAAGTCTTGTTTCCATGGAGGATAGTGTGGTGGATCTTAAATCCAGCCTATCAGGGGGTCAGAGGCCATGATTCAACCATGTTTTCCCATCTTAGCTGAGATCCTGGTGAATCACAGCCTAAGGGAACCAGGAGGGGTTTGGTGTGACCCACTTGTGTCTTCTTGGTTGCCTGCCTTCGACACCTTCAAGCTTTTTTGGCTCTGAGTTGAGGAACTGAGTTTCTTTCTTACTCTCTTATAAATGTATCCAGCATTTACTGTAGTTCTTATGTTTTTCTCCCAGTAGTATTAAATGCTAAGCAGTTGAGAGATGGTTTTTTGCTTTTGTTTGGTTTTTTGTTCTGTTTTGTTTGGGGGGGGTCTAACTTAGTAGTCTAAGATGGCCTGAAATTCAAAATGTTGCCCAATCTAAAGTTGAACTCTAAAGGTGATTCTCCTACCTCAGCCTTCCAAATGCTAGAATTACAGGTGTATGCCTTGCTGATGGTACTTCTCAAACAGCTCAGACCCACACTTGAGAAATCATCATGAGTGTTAGACCAGCCTGGTTTACACAGTGAGTTCCTTGACAGGAAAATAGAGCCTCACAATAAAACTCTGCCTCATGACCTTCCTACAAAATGCCAAAAACAACAATCTGTACCTGCCAAATGGATTGGGGATCTCTTAACATGAGAAGTGTTCCCTACTCATTCCCTTTTTAAAAGGCTCCCTGGTTACATGTCTTTAAGAGAGAGTCAAAAACAGTCACTTTTATAGATCTCCCCAGAAAACTATGAGCAAGAAAATGGCTAGACTTTTTAAAGGTATCCACTAGACTCTTGGGTTGGGAGTGGAGTATTAGGAATTTGTAAAGTAAAGCTAGGACACTCATGTTCTAGAAATCTGATGGGTAGGTATTGATTTAGTCAGTAAACCAGAAATTAAAATTTTTTTCAAAGATGCTTTACTTTTGCCAGATCGACCCTGAATGTGTTTGAAAAAAATGCCTACAAATGTTCTAACTTCATGTACATGTAGCATGGATCCATAAGGAAGTATTATTATTAGCTGTGAGCTAACTGGTGGGAGAAGAGGGGCACATATATGCATCCTCTGATGATTATAAAATTAAGTTTTGTTAATAATGAGCAAGGAATAATTAACCAAAATGATTACAAAAAGAATTTATTAGGCCAACACATCAATAAAAACAAGTCTAAGGAGTCGGTTGGAACATTACTGGGCCTTTTAAGAAGTCCAAAGTCACATACTTCAGACATCCCTCTGACAGTGTGTGGTATGAGGAAGGATTTTGGGCAACAGGACAAGGCTAAGTCTCTACTTCCTCTGAAGTCTATGGTTCTGACCCCTGGAAGGGCCGGAGTGAAATGTTTCCCACTTAGTGCAAAAACTGGACCTCTTTGTTCAGATCTTATCTTTGAGCATTTGCAGTATCTGTTCACAGACATGGGATGCTGCTGTCGAGGGCAAGTGGTCACTGGGGGACTGTTTCACCAGCATGTACGGTGAATAAAATTATACTCCCTGCTGTAGCATCTTCATTTCTAATCTCATCTGGCACCAACAGTCCTTTGCCGATGCAGTGTTTGGGGGCATTATTCTTCAGAATAGAAGGGAAAGAGTCTAATTACCAAATACACAATGAAATAATCCAAACTCACAAATCTTAGAGTCCCAGAACATGAAGTCTTCCTTTAAGTTGGAAGGGGGGATATTTTCTATCATTCCTCATAATAATAAAGTTAATTATTTCAAGATTATAATGTTCATAATTCCAGTGTGTGTTTTTAACTTAAAGCTGTTGATCATTAAGTTTAAGTTTTAATGGTACAGGCTGCCAAGGAATTGTAAGGAATACAGTATTTATTTAGGTGTTGGCTAGCCTCAAGCTATCAAAAAAGTAAAAATGAAACACAAAATAGGGCAGATGGAGTCATCTGGTCTCTGAGGCGTGACTACAAGACCAAATAACACAGAAAACTAGTATTTCAAACAAAACCAGCCAAGGAACTTCACAGACTACCTTTGCTTTGTTTTAATAAAGAAAGCAGCAGTCAGAACCTATGTATCCTTGAGCCCATTGGTGAAAAGGGTTTTTTCCTCCACAACAACTCCTTCCACTTGGTATTTCTTTCCCAGGCCCTTACAACTTTTGCTTGTTCGCTGTCATTAGGAGGAACAACAATAACAAGAAATCTGTTTAGAACAAGAATTGTTTCCAAGTCAGAATCTTGGGTATATTAAATGTTACATTTATGCTTTCAAAGATGTAGTCAAATGGCTGACTGTAATGCCTGCTGGTGGATCTTGCTCTGTTCCAACTTGTCAGTTTGGAAGTCCATGTGAAGGCGTAGGATGGACAGAGGAGCACATCACAACAACTCACACACAGACTTCACCATAGCCTTTGGGTCATCAATCCCTTTACTGTCCTTTTTGTGCATGTAGGGCACTGCTGTAGTCTGACCACGCTATTCTCAAACCCTGCGAGGCCACAGAGTTGTGTCTTTTCCACGTCAGTCTAGGCACAACGCTAAACAACTTCCTGATACACCTAGAGTCTGCACACAGAGAACAAGGTAGTCTGTTAGCATCAGTAACTGGCTCAGGCCTGAATCTCAAATGAAGATATAGAAATGCCGAGTTAGGCATCTTGAAAATAGAAAATCCATTCGATAGCTGCCTCTGCTTTGGGGCCAACTGGCTCCAGCTTTGTTCAGGACGTGAGAGGAAGTACTGTGTTGAGCCAATTCCACCACCAGGAAGGAAAGTTCTTCTCGGAACGCACTGGGACCTTTAAATATTCAGTCTTTGGTGATAGTAGCTGGTGCCCAGAACATTCTTGGCTCCCTCTGGTCTCCACCCTGGCAACCCTTATTAGCCTGGTATTGACTACCCAGGCCCTTTAAAAACAGAGCCCTGGAAGTGAATGAAAGCGAAGAGCGACGTCCAGAAGCTGGAAGGCTTGAAGTCAGCTTGGTCTGGACACTTTCTTGACTTCTCAGTGGCCTGTGTGGTTTGGAGTCCAGCAGGTGGCTTCTCCTCGCCCTCTGGTGGCTGGAGGGAAGGGGCACAAAGACACCAACACACCAGGAGGGGGCGGTCAGTGCCCCTCTGTGATGCAGGGGTCCACACCACCATACTGATCACACGGGAATCCCGATTCGGTTGGAGTACCCGGTTTACAGGTGCGGGACATAGAAAGGGGTCAAGTAGGAGGGCCCAAGAAAAGGAGTGAAGGGACTCCCCGTGGCGGCTGTCGCCAACGGGAAGGAGGAAGGGGAAAAGATGACGTTGCTCGAGGGATAGCTGGGGAAAGTCTGGAAGGGCAAAGTGCCTGGAACCTGGGGGCCAGGACTGCTCCCGGTGCCACTGCCGCAGGCTCCCGCCACCGCACCGGGTGTTCCAGGCTGCGGCGTACCACACCCCGCCGGCACCGTGCCGTCGGCCCCCGGGTTCTGCTTCTTCCACTTGGTCCTTCGGTTCTGGAACCAGATTTTGACCTGCGTCTCCGTGAGGCTAAGCGACAGAGCCAGGTTCAGGCGTTCGCACACCGACAGGTAGCGCGTGGCTCGGAACTTGTTCTCCAGAGCCACCAGCTGCTCATAGGTGAAGGCTGTGCGCGCGCGCCGTGGCTTGGCGCAGCTAGGCTCGGATCGTCGGCGCCGGGGCCGCGGGGAACCGGGGGAGCCGGGGGACGTTGGCAGCCGGTCGGTGCCACTCTCCCTGACTCCAGTCACCACCGCCCGGGCCTCTGGAGAGCCTTGGTGAACCCCCTGCCAGCGCTCCGGCCGCTCCCGCAGCTGCGCGCGCCCCGCGTCCTCCGCTTCCTCCTCCTCTTCCGCTTCCGAGTCTTCCAGGGGAGACGCGGGGCCAGTGCCTCGGCCCGTGGCACCTAAGAGAGAAGGGCAGGGTGACCAGAAGCCCGTAACAACTCCACCCGTCCGCATCCCCAAACCTTCTCGTCCTTCCCGAGAGCACTCAACTTTCCCCTTGATACAACTCCACTTTCGCCACTGTGTCCTCTTCAGTCCCCAGCCTGCACATCTTAGGGAGCAGATTCAGGAATGAGGTGCCTTCTTGCCCTTTACGAATCTACCCTTAAATAGTCACCCAAAAAGTATATGTTGGATGGCACCCCATATCAAGAAAGTACAGTGACTTTATCGAGCAGAGGAGAGAGGAGTCGGCTGTGCATTATGATATGGGAATGTCAAATGCGTTTACTATTGAATCTCCCTGGTCCCAAGAAGCCTATTTTGCTGTGGGACTCCTAGCAATTAAAAAAGAAGTTATTAAGTCCCCCTCCCCCAAAAAAGAGAAATTCCCCCTTTCCCATCTTCTCGCTCCGGCCGTGTTAATAGAGTTTCAGATTTGTCCGGGGCCTGATCGATAGATGTCATCTATTAAAGGTAAGTTTTAATCGAACAATATTAGGATCAGACAGGGAAAGGGGGTTTGAAGTCAGTACCTGCAAGCTGCGGGCAGGAGATATGCAGTCGCCAGTAATAGAATATCGATCAAGGAGTTGGGGGGGAGGGGAACGCGGCCCAACAGAGAGACCATCCAAACAATTAATCCAGGCCCTCGATCGGGCCCCAAGCCAGGCCACCAGAGGCTTCTGGGCCCCAGACAATCACTGCCAAACTTAAAAAGGAAAAGCAGGGGACTATGCTGCATACAGCCTTCCCCAGGACCAGAGTTCCTAGACCTTCGGTGTCCCTCCAAGGAATCCCATACCCATGTCCCACCCGGCATGAATCCTTCTGTCTAAAATTCCAGCCACAAACTTTCCTGACCCCTTCCTTTGATTTCAACCACCTTCAGGGATGAGGTGGAATAGTCTAGAAGAAAAAGCACCAAAAGCTTCCTGTCTGCCCACCCCCAGTCCCCTGTCAGGTCCAGAAAAGGTGAAGGCATGGCTCTGCAGGTTTCCGAGGCTTTGAAAATAAGCACCTAATTCTGGTCTCAGTTACCTCAACCATAAAAAAGGGAGTGATGTTGACGATACTATATACTTGAAAGGCGTTTTCATAACCTTTACCCCAGCTCCTAGCCCAGGTTCTAGCACGTGAACAGCGTAAAACATTTCCGCTAGATGTGCGAGCCAGTCAGAGCTGTGGCGCTCACACACTGAGCAGGTGTTCAGGAATGAGGCACATACCTGCCATGAAATCTCAACCTCATCCCTGTGTCTTTCTGTTTCCAAGGAGGGGTGCTTCAGTGTGCACCTGCGCGGGTGCGCCTTCTCTAGTTCCCAGGCCACCAACATCCATTCATCAGACCTTGGCTTTTCCACACACACGGATACCATCTTAGACTGAAACCGCCTCGCATTCTTACCAGGGGTCTCCTGAGACCTGATCGTAGACTCGGGACTGGCGTCTTCCCCTGCTTCTACCTCCGCTAAACTTTTCTTGGCTTCCCGGGCAGCTAGACGCACCGGCGGGAACGCAGCTCGCGTGAATTTTTGCGGATCCAAGATGTCCAGGACAGAGAAGGAAATCTTGTGGTGAGAAGGGGCCGCCTTGGCCCCGCCATCCTGCCATGCCAGCATGCCGGCCTCCCACGGACTGGAGGCCGGCTTCAACCGGTCCGGGATGGATGCACTAGGGCTTGCCTTTGGCTGTGGTTCGGTCACAGCGCTCCAGTCTCGAACTGAATTTTCCCCGCCAAGTGAAGCTGGAGAGGGGGGCAAGGAGGCGGGGCGGGAGGAGAGCAGCGAGGGGCTGCTTGCGGATTGGCACTTGCGCTGGCCAGACCCCCGCCACGTGCAGGGTGAGTTCGCAGTTGCCTCGGGACTATTCCGCGCGGCGTGGTGGAGGTTGGCCTGGACCAGAGGGATCCTCGCCGGCCAATGCGCGCTCCCGAATCCAGGAGTCACGGTTGCTAGCTGCGCGAGTGTCCTTCCATCCTGTAGAAACTCGTGAAGGGCGTCAGGGAAGCTTCCATCTCGAGTATCCCCTCTACTCACACACCTACCTGACTGAAGTTTACTTATTTCTCTTGGAGCACTTGCCATCTGTCTTTGACCTGAAGACGCCACCGAGGCTAAGCCTGATCCCTCCGCAATGATGCTTGGCGCATCTCATGCATCATCTGTGAACCACAGTAACGGCGTCAGGATCATTTACTTCAAATTTTTAAAGCCTCGGTGTGTTTACAGTTTACAAAGCCCTGGGGTTTTCTCGCCCTCTTTTGATTTTCTAAGCTTCCCTGTGAGGTGGGCGTGGCCCGGGACTACAATCTGTGTTTCAAAGACAGGAAAAATGAGGTTCAAAGATGAGCAAAGATCTGTCCAGGATCACTGCCGTCAAGAAGAGTCTGGACTGGGCTAGAGAGGCTGTATTTTTTTTTGTTTTGTTTTGTTTTGTTTGTTTTTGTTTTTGTTTTTTTTTTTGCACGTCCTCTGTCTTGGAAGATGGAGGCGAAAAATTCTCCTTGGGCAGGAGACTTTTCTTTCTACCCAGAAGGCCAGCAGGGGTCAGAGGCCAAAGAGTGAGTTATAGGAAAGATGACAGTGCCCAACCAGGAGGGTCGCGGGTTCAGGGCCAGGTAGCCCTACTGAAGGGGCTGTCTTTCTTTCAGTTACCCAGAGTGGCATTTTCGCTGCACGTCGGAACTTCTTCACAGTCACATATATTCTATCATTAGCATCAGAAATTGACTATCTCTGACCCCCATCCTCGCCTTGCCACAAGAAGGAAAAGGTTAAAAGATGCCTGTTGGTTTGAATTTAAGATCAGAGAAGAGATACGATTAAAATGCCCCCCCTCACCCCCATCCCCGCTTCCCCCAAGTCTCCAGGGAGGACAGCCAGCATGGTGAGGGAAAGCTCGCTGTAGCCACACCCGTGGTGACATTCCTTCTCTTTGTCACCGCTGTGAACATTAGGCATTTATTTCAGCGGTCAGTTCTGAAGCATCGCTCACTTAGCTCCACTCCCCAGAGCCACCTCGGACTCCGCCGCTCCTTTCTTCTTTGCCCCATGCGGTTCCCAGACAATGTCTTAGCAATTAATATTGTCTGAGCAGGTAAGAAGTAGGAAGAGGAGGGGTCTCTTTCGCACTAAAGTGCTGGGGGCTACTAATCCTATCTATTAGTAAAGAGGCATCCTTGGGGGCTAGCTCCTTGTAGCTTTTCTCATTCAAACCTTTTAGCCCCTCCCAGGGGTGCCCACCATATTCCCTGCCGACTTTAAAGCCTTGCCGAAACTCCAGCCTTAAAGCAAAGACGGATTGCGCTTTTAAAGTGAAGGGAAGGAAGTGCCCAACCCAAGCCCACCAGAACACCCCCCTTCCAAAGGGAATTTGTGCCATGAGAAACTCAGGGACCAGGGACAAGGCCTGCAAATCACAGATCCTTCTGGAATGCACACACTTTGTTTTCTGTTTGGATAACCCTTTCTCACCTCGTTCCCACATTTTTTAAGTCTTCCGTTTTCTTTCTCTCCCCTCCCCTATTGACCCCAATTTCAGCTACCTTTTCCCATATACATGTGTATATATATATATATATATGTATATATATATATATATATATATATGTTTTTCAGGGTAGCTGGGAATAGATAAAATGTTCCTTCTCTTACCTTCTTCTCTGGAGCGAACACTGAGGCTGTTTCATAAGGATGGGGGTGGGGAAAGCATCCCAGACTGCACCCACATCCTAAACCAGAGGACCAGGAAAGAGCCCCGATATCTTACCCCCACATCAGACAGAATTTGGATTACGTCATTGTACTTCCATAGCCTCTTTTTGTTGTTGTTGTTTAAGTTATATAAAGTTTTTCCTTTTGTATGAGTCATTTTTCCTTTGAAGTCTATGGTGCTAAATACAGAAAAGGGACCAAAAATGGCAGGAAGTAGCATATTGGAGAGAAAATCCAAGAACATGGAGAGGCCACGTTCTGTAACCTGAAGACTCCTGAGCATGCCTTCTTGGGATGGGTTTTATATTGCTGTCTTCACTTTCTCACCGTTTCTCCTGGGTATATGTTCACGACAGGGTGACAGTCCAGGAACCCTGCTTGGTGTTTGGCTCTGGATACTAACTGTCGTGGAAGGAACTTTGCTGTGTCTCACTCATTCAGCCTGGAGATAAACGCCCAAAGACCAGGGTATGTCTTCCCGCTGAGGGGAGACAGACAGAGGCAGGAAGATTCAGGGAACCGTTTCTCTGGCCACTCACTTGGTATGGACCATAAGGCAGTGAAACCTCCGTTCAGGCACAACTGGGAGATGTGCTTGACCCACTAGGGTGGTCCATGTGCTACCCAGGCTGTTTCTATGGAATGCATATGTTCACATCTGGCAAGCCATCTTCCCTCTGTGCGTTGAGTTCATTTGGCTGTTGGTTTTTTTTTTGTTGTTGTTTTGCTTTTTTTTTTCTTCTTTCCTCAGCCTGGACATTAAAATTCTGTTTGAGTGCTGTCTTTAAATTGCTTTGATGCTAGGTGGGTTCCAACTCTGACCTGTCCTGATGGCAAGTGATGGCTGTAACAAGCCCGGGATCAATATTCATAGCGGGTGTCCTGGACTGATAACGCTATCCAAGACAATGTTCGCTATCGGTATGGACAGCTGAGATATTGCGCCATTAGGGATGTTGTGTTAAATAACCTGATCCATTTCTGGGGCTATTTAATGAATTTCACAGCTTAGATAGTATCTTTAAGGAGATGGCAAAAGGCTATTCCGGAGGCACTGATGCAAATCAATGGTGCCAGGCTTCTCAAGCAATTGCACAAACAAAGTGGCCTGTAATTCCAGCACAGCCTTGAGAAGCTGCCACCCGCCCTGGGAGCAGGATTAACAATGGAGAGACTGTGCAGTGTATCCAGAGGGAGGGTGCTGATATTATGAGCTGCATTGAGGTCCCTAAGATAAAATCATATGTTCCCGAAATAAATACAAGTGCAGTTCTCTGTTCGAGACAGCTCACAAGTTAGGACATACATGCCAAAGAGACAGCTTCATCAGGCACAGCTGAAGGCCAAAGGGAGGTGGTGACTATGGAGACAGTCATGTATACATTCTTCTACCTGAGTAATCAGCCCGCTTTCCCCAGTCACTCTATACAGTAGGAAGAAAAAAAAAAGACACTGGGTTTTCAAAGGAAGGCTACTGGTGGAGTAATGGTTTATTTACCTGACCCCAGGCCCTCATTGCTAGAATTTACAATTTATATTTGGGGGCAGAGGCAGGAGGACTATTGCAAATTTGAGGCCATTAAATTCTATTAAGTTCCAAAGCCAATCAAGGCCACATAAGAAAATTCAACAAAAGTATGTAATAAAACTGGAAAAAAATGGCAACAGAAAATACAAAACTACCTTGGAGACTTTTGATTTGTGAAAGGAACGTTGAAAACGTAGCCTTCCTAGGCTAGGGTCTTCGCTCTTGGCTCAGCTGGTAGAGTGTCCTAGTGTACACGAAATTCTGTTTTTCCCCCAGTACCATGTAACTTGGTGGGGCAAGTGTAATCCCAGCACTGGGAAAGTGGAGGCAGGAGGGTCAGGAGTCCAAGGTCATTTATCCTTCACTGCTTTTGGAATTCAAGGCCAGCCTGGGCTACCTACACAGGACTCTGCCTCAAAAACTGATTTTTACAGATAAATAAATTATTCAAAACAAAAGCACAGTCTGCCTGCCTTTCTCTAAACTGCAAACTCTAAACATGGTCACATAGTTCACGTCAAACAATAAAAGTGTGTCCTGTGGAAAACTAGAGGTTAAAAACAACTTGTTTTTGAGACAGGATTGTCGGTGTTCTTATACAACAACTCAGGCTAGCTGGAGCTCAAAGTCCCCCTGCCCACTTCACATCCTGAGTGCTGGGACTACAGAATCACATCTGTAGCTTAAAAACTTAGAGGAAACATCAAAGGTTATTAAGCGGCCAGGTGGTGATGGCACATGCCTTTAATCCCAGCACTTGGGAGGCAGAGGCAGGTGGATCTCTGTGAGTTTGAGGCCAGCCTGGTCTACAAGAGCTAGTTCCAGGACAGGCTCTAAAACAACAAAGAAATCCTGTCTCAAAAACAAACAAACAAATAAACAAAAAAAAAAAAGATTACTAAGCAATAGAGGGTTACCTCCATGAGCAGAACACGTATTTGTCACATGTATTCTGATAGTCTCATAATAATAATTAGTATTAACAATATACACTCTTTGTTTGGCCTTGCCCTGGGCCAGGCTTTGGGCTAATCTCTGTTGGAAATTATTTCAGGAGCTCTCCACAGAGGTTTTGAATCAGATACTATTAACTTGCAGTTGAGAAAATGAACTTAGAGGGAGTTACATGGGGAACAGGCTCAAAATTGTTGGGGCTGGAATTTGAATGTAGTGAGATTTCAGAACCCTCTTTAATAATGTTCTTTCTGAGGAAATCCACTCCTGGCCCCAGGATGTAACCTAATCACAGCAGCTGGTCCTTAAAATTGTGCAGATAATTGGACTATGTAATAGAATATCTGAGGAAATAAGCGAGCCCATGACTGGACCACAGGTTTCAGAGACCCCTTTGGGGGAGATCTTTTTTGTTTGTTTTTTTGTTTTGTTTTGTTTTTCTTGTCAAAGTTTCTCTGTGTAGCTTTGAAACCTGTCCTGGAACTAGCTCTTGTAGACCAGGCTGGCCTCGAACTCACAGAGATCTGCCTGCCTTTTCCTCCCGAGTGCTGGGATTAAAGGCGTGTGCCACCACAGCCCGGTTTGGGGGTGGGGGGGAATCTTTTACGTACAATGCGTCATGACGTCTTGAAACGTCCTTAGGAGGAGCCCAGAGTAAGGGGAATTGCCCGACAAACGCAATTGCACTGGATGTCTAGAAAGGTAGCGAAATGGGCCTGGCAGGACGTAAAAAGCCAAGTGACAAGCGGAGGGACAGAGAGCTAACTGGTGACGGAACGACCGGATGAGAA